AGGGGTATTTTGGTCATTTGGGTTTATCTATCTGAGAGTGAAAGGTCTATTTTGTTTAAGTTTAAGTTATGTGTCCCATCACTTATGAGGGACAATATGGTCTTTCTTGTAACTATGTTATTGGAGATAAATACAAGTGGGTCGGCTAGAGGTGGACTGATATTTCCTAATCTGGTCGAACCCTTCTTCTTCTCTTCTTCTTCTTCTCCTCTTCTTCTTCCCTACTTTAACCTAGAATCGAATAGGGATTTCACAGAGGTCCTTCAGGTATGGAGGATGTTCTAAGAAATGAGGAGAGTGTGGTAATTGCTCTTTTTTCGGGGCCAATTGGAATGAGTGATTCTCTCTGTTTCAGCTGTTCTTGAAGGAACTCAAAGGGCTAATGAACTGAATATCACCAAACTGGTTATAGAGGGAGATTCTAAATTGGTAGTTGACTGGCTGAAAGATGATGCTGCTAGTTTTTGGAACTACAACAATGAGAAGAGGAAATATAAATGGTCGACTAAGGATATTGAAGTGAAGCTGAACTGGGTTAAAAGGAGTGCTAACTCCTTTGCCGATGGGTTAGCCAAACAAGGGGTAGCTAAGGATTCCTTGTTCTGTGCTCTCTTGTAATTTTATTCTCTTTGTTATTTTATCTTTGGGTGGGAGAGTTAAGAGAGGTTATCTCCCCTAAATCTGTATCTATTTCTCCTTTTTTAATGAAAGTTGTGAGTTATTGATCAAAAAAAAAAAAAAAACTGAGAAAGAAATGATGTATATCAAAATATGATAAGATAAAATATATAAACTCTAAAATGAACCTCAAGTAAATTGATTAATCATAACATGGCTATTTGTTAAAAAAATTTCTGATTCATTTAACTAAACCTTTTTGTATTATTATTATTATTATTATTTTTTGTTATTTGTTTTACCTAAATCGATGAAACCTAACCTTTTCTCACTACTTAAAAATAGATATACATTAAGGCTGTGTTTGGCTTGAAGGAAATGGTAGAGAAGCCTATACAAGGCTTTTATATGTTTCCCTTCCTTTCCCTACCTTTTCCTGTAAACCAAACACAGCCTAAGAGTGAAAAGCAGAAAAAAGTAAAGAAATAAAAAGAGATTTCATATACCAATCTGGCCATGCAAAAGCTATTGTTTAACTCTATAAGTGTACTAGAAACCCATCATCAATGGTTTTGTCTCACTTGGTTCTGAATGTGCTCTAGGTAATTCCCATGAATTCTTTTAGAACATAGGACTGGCATTGTAGTTTAGTCTCTATATTTTTCCCCATTGCCTTGTTAAAACTTACAAGAGAATCATTTCTCCGAAAGTATGGTGCTTTCTTTCTATAGGCTCTAGAAAAGCAAATTCCATAAGATTGTGGTGCCTTCTAGAGAATCCTGTTCTGGCTGATCTTAGAGTATTTCTGATCACCTTGGAGTTTTGTTGTTTCACCATAGATAGTTAATGAAGCTAAATGGTGTTTACTCTTTGGAATATAATTGCTTCTTTCTAGGGCTGATCATTCTTGGCCTGGCCCAGAAACCCAGCCCACAAATTTCTGGGCTTGGGCCCAGATTTTTGTGTACAGCCCAGCCCAGGCCCAGGCCCACAATATATATATGTATTATTTTATATTAAATATAAAAGTTTTACATTTTATTTTAACATATAAATAAATATTTATGAATTGAAATGTATTAACACATGTCAACAATTGAGTAAATTCAAGTATGAGAATTGTCCTCTTAAGCAAAACCTTATATAGGTGAAGGCAAAGCCTTCATTCTCATTCCCTAACCAATGTGGGACTTGGAAAAACACTCATTGGTTGCACTAATTATTTAGTGTTGTTCCAAGTCCCACGCTGCTCAATAATGAGAATGAAGGCCTTGCCTTCCTCTATAAAAGGATAGATAACCCAAGCCAATTCAAGTCTAACAATTGAGTGAGGCTCATGCCTTGTTTTTTGTGCCATAGGCCTAAAGCCTAGCCAGCCAAATTTAACTTTGGCTTGTGTAATTTTTTTGTATGTATTAAATTTACATATTACTTAATTTAGAATTTTAAATAAATTAAATTTTATTATTTGATTTCATGGGCTTAAAGTCTTTACTCATTAGGCTTGGAAAGCGCGTAAGCCTGGCCCAGGCCCGTGTAGGGCCTGGCTTGGGCTTGCAATCTAGGCCTGGGGTGCAGGCTGATCCGGGCCTGGGCCTAGCTTAAAGCCCTTATAATTGGTGCTAACCCAGCCTGGCCCGGCCTATGATCACCCGTACTTCTTTCCCTAGATCATGCTTTTTTTTTTCAAAGAAAAAGGTAATGTATTCATAGAACAAGAAACTCTAAGATCATCATCATCATCAACAGAAAATAACCAGTCCAAATACAGAGAGGGACTGTACAAATGAATGAATGATAGCAAGCCAGGTGAATCAGAAGAAATACAGTAGAAACCATAGATCATGTTTCTCATTTTATACATCTTTTGTGCAGCCCTGGTATGCCCACGGGATTGCAGAAGCGATAATGCGTACTGCTAACCTCTCAATTCCTTTACAGGTAAGCACCTAACTTAATGAAAATTTTACTTTCTTAATTGTGTTGGTTATAAGTGGATCTTCATATTTGTTTCAGTTTTGATTTTATATTTTGAACTTATCATTTTGACAAAGCGGCAAATTTGACATTTGATAGCATAGATGTTCTGTACTTCTATAAGATAGGTCTAAGCATATTGTCTTATCTTTTTTTCCTGCCTGGTTCTTTAATTGTTCTGCATGTACTGGTGTATTAAAAGTGCCATATATCTAGGTTATATTTTTACTTCATTCATCAAAAGGTCACATTATCCCATCCTTCACTTCATTGGCTCATTGTATCTAGACAATGACTTTGATCTTTCTACCATGTTTACTCAGATATATGAAATTGGAGGTGGATCGGGAACCTGTGCGAAGGGCATTATGGATTACATAATGTTGAACGCACCTGCGAGAGTTTACAATAATATGACTTACACGTATGTGAATAACTTGTTCCTTTGTTTACTTAGCAAATTAAACCTTTTTCTGCTTTTATTAGGCTTGCCCATTTAATTCACTTGATGCCAATCCGAGGCTTGTCAAAGGAGCAAAGCCTTGAATATTAGAAATAGTACCAGACAGGTGCTTCATGACACTATCTACTTAAAACAGGCTCTGTATCTGTTCTCAGGTTGTACACTTTCAGAAAAGCACTGATAAATTTGAGCTTCACGTATTGGAAATACCATGGTTTAAATACATGGAAGCAACAGCTTCTCAGGAATTCAAAGTTTCAAGTATTGTGGAGATTTTTTCTCACTGAAATTATATTACTAAATCTGTGGACAATTCTCTTAATTTTACTTAGAAAATGCATTTCTCATTCTCCATTGATGGAGTTAACACCAGTAACATCTTTGCAAATTTGATTTTGAACCCATGTATTTATTTCTAAATTCTTTGCCCAGCTATAATAATTTTCTTTTTTTTTATATTCTTTACTCATATATAGTGGCCATTGCTTGGTGCAATGGAAAAATCTTTGTCTGACAAGCATGACAAAGCATGTTTGAGTCTAAGAGTGGCTACTTTGTTCCAAAGAAATGCCCAAGGTTAGGTCTACTCTACATCCAATCTACCCCTCCCAAGACATTGGATAGCCATGATAATCATTGGGTAAATGGCCCTTTTCATTCCTGGTAAAGCATGTCCTTCTCTGTTAAAGAATATTTCTATTAATTGCAGCTCAGTAGAAATTAGTTCTTCACTGGCGAAGAAACAGATAGAAACTGTTGGAGAAGTCCGTAGTCACTTGTCGAGGTTTACAGTAGAATGCCGTGATGCTGCTGACAGAAGTGGATGGGGTATGTCAACTTTAGCTTCATGCATATTTTCAAAACTAAAAAGTTTCTTTGAATTCATTGCTTCTCCAAATTACACTTGCCCCATTTATCAAATACCTTTTGAATCTTTCACCCATGTGATAAGATGTTATATCCTTAATTCTCTTCAGACAGTAACTATCTGTAGGTCAGTTAAGTACAATTTCTTACTTAACCGAAATGGTAAATATACTTTATATTTAATTCTAAACTACCACATAAATGAGAACATGTGTATTGCATAAGAAAATAACAAATTTACTCAAAAATTAAAATGGTTGTCTGGAAGGAAGGGAATGAACTCCTGCCTCTCTCTCTCTCTCTCTCTCTCTCTCTCTCTCTCTCTCGCTTTTCATTTTCTCTACCTTCTTATTTTGATTGATGATGGAGGTTCATAATCTGTTTGTGGATGACTGCACTCATTTTACTATCTAGAGAAATTCCACATGCTTGTATTTTTCACAAGAAAATACTCATGATTTTGACCAGCCAGATCAGAACTCCCAAATCCGATGGTGCATGGGAATATTTTGACAAGGACATTAAAGCTTATCTTGAGGACCCTGACCACACACTCCACAGCAAAATAGAGTCCTTGAAAGCAAAAACCATTATTTAATGGAAGGGTCTTATGAGCATGCATTTGTTGAAAAAATATGGGGCTGAGGGAGTGCTTACTATTTCCTACTTGATTAATTTTTGCCATCTAGAGTTCTTCAGTTCAAGGATCCTCATCATTTTCTCTCTCTTGACAATCCCTGGTTTAATATCCTTTTACATGTCTACTTATTTCTATGGTGTAGGATGGGTTGAATTAGGAGTAGAACCTGTAGTTGTAGTGGCAACCAGCAGGAAAGAGAATTATAAGCCAAGAAGAAAATAGGAAGAAATAGAGAATGCACCAAGATTTAGTTTGGCCTAGTAGCCTACATCCATGGGAAGAGAGGGAAAAATAACCATTATGAGAACAAAAGATACATGATTGACCTCAGACTCACAACAAAATGTCCACTCTAACACAACTTAATCCACACAACAGATAACTTAAATAAGCAAAAAACCCAATTATATCAGAATTTCACACAAGCACCTCTTCCTCCCATAAATACGTGTAAGTCCCCAAAATTGATCAACATTACAAATATACCCCTATTATCTTCCAACACCCTTCCTGAAAGAAAACCCAAATACAATATATCTCTCTACACCCTCCCTCAAAATCAAGGTGGGGAAACCAGCTTGAGTTTTTAAGTAAGGATGTTGAAGCAACCTCCATGAAAATAGGTGTAGTATTGAAGTAGCAACCATGAAACTTGAGATGTTGTAGTAGCCTCATAGAGACCAAAGTTGGATGTTAGAAAGCTGAATAAGGTAACAAAGTGATATGAACTCATGTCAGAAGGCCAGAATAGAGCTAAGTCATGATCTAATAATCATCAAACTGAAGCTGGCCAATGGAAAACCAACACATATCATGTCAAAGGATTGAAGCTAGCCATTAAAAGGCCAATCAAAATCATTGAACTGAAGTACCAACCATGCCAAACAACTAGATTCGTAGAAATGCTAACAAAATTATTTAAAGGAGTTGGCTAGTGGAAAGCCAACTATGGTGAACTCCATAAACCAAAGTAAAGAATTAGAGTTGGGCAACGGAAAGCCAACTGTGAACGCCATAAACCAAATTAAGGAATTGGAGTTGACCAGTGGAAATCTAACTAGATAGAGTGGATCAAAATACCAGGTCACCTAAGGAGATCAAAACTCCAAGGATTTCGCCAACAATAACTCAAAACTGATGAGCATAATAAAGGATCATTGCTGAAACATTTCATCAAACATCTTCCATGCAAAACATTTATAAGGTAAACAAACCAAATAATAATTGATGGTCAACGGATCAAGGTTTAAAATGTCGATGTCGGTTGTCCAAATATAAGAAACATGTCGGAAATGTTGGAAACATCGTATGAAAATACTGTAAAAATTATAGACATGTTGGAAACATTGTAAAATATGCAAAATATACAATGATAAAAGAAGCATAGGCACAGTTTTTTAAATTATTATCTTGTTCCAAATCATCCTCTTCTTCCTCCCCCTCCTTCCTCCTCATTTCCCTCTTCTTAAGGAGGCTTATGCCTCTTACATTCTGAACTACACCTCACGCCTCTAGGTAGTGGAACGCCTCGTGTCACCTCCACATTTTAAAACATTGGTGAAGAGTTGGTGGTCTGCTTGTGATAAGGAGGGGACAGGGTCCCATATCATGGCAAGAAAGCTTAAAGAAGTGAAGGATAAGATCAAGGCCTGGAGAAGCTCAACCTACAGAAGCATTGAGAGGAGAGCTTTTGAATATAATTTTGGAGGTGGACACCAGGGAAGAAAATGGTAGTCTTTCTTCTTTTTTATTTAATAAATTTTATTTTACTATAAAAGAAAAGGAATAAAAGGGTAGTTGTCCTAAAGAAGAGAAGTAAAAGAGAGCAAAGGCTAAGGCCCTCTACAACAAGGAAGCATTAAATGTAGAAATCAAGTGGCACCGGCATGCCAAAGTGTCTTGGTTGAGGGAGGGAGATGGCAACACAATTTTTTTTTCACAAACTTTCTAATTCCAGACACAGAGAACTTTATTTCAAGCCTTGAAACTGAAGATGAAAGAGTTGAAGGTGAGAAGGAGATTAAAGACACCATTACAGGTTTCTACAAGAAGATTTTCAAAGATCCTCAATGCAATGGACCCAATGTGGAAGTTGACCTGTTTGACAAAATCTCTGATCAGCCCAAGGTCCACCTTGAATGCCGATTTGATGAACAGAAGTGTGGGATAGATGCTGATAGGGCCTCAAGTTTGGACTGTTTCCCCACCTCCTTCAAAAAAATTGTTGGTCGTTTATTAAGGGGGACATTATGACTCAGGTTCTCACATCAATGTAACCTTGAAGAGGAGCCTTAATGTCACTGCCATTGCCCTTGTTCCGAAGAAAGGTGGTGCTTTCCAACTGAAAGATTTTAGATCAATAGTTTCACTGGGAGCTTTTATAAAATAGTGTCTAAAGTTTTGGCAGAGTGGATGAAACTAATGCTACATATTATTTCATGTTCTCAAGGTGCTTTCTAGTTTCTTCCTTGGCAGACAAATCTTAGATGGGATTCTCATTGCTAACAAGATAATTGACTCCAGGAATTGTGATGGTACTCCAGGATTGATTTGCAAATGGTATGTGACCATGCCAATTAGGGCCATGCTGATAATGTCTTCCAGAAAATGAATTTTGACAGTAAGTGATGTACTTGGATTAAGGTGTGCATATCGATCATGAGCTTCTCCATCTTAGTTAATCTGCCCCCAATTTTTTTTTTAATAGTCAGAGAGGCCTTCAGCAGGGGATCCCCTATTCCCCTCCTATTTATTTGTGTTACCAAAATTTTGGCCAAATTCACTAAGGGCTTATTCGTTTCCTCCTCTTATCTCTTAAGAGGAATCTTTTAACTTTAAGAGAAAAATGGTTGTTCGTTTCCTCTTATCTCTTATCTCATAAAGTGCAATCATACAACTTTTTGTTTTCCAACGATACCCCCAAAAAGACAAACAAAAACTCTAATATATGGGGTCAAAATAGATATTTGATAATTTTCAGAATTCAGAACAACATTCTCTACATTTAGAGTTCAGAGGAAAGAAAAGTTCACCAATACCAATATACCTCTTAATGTAATTATTGCACTTTCAGATGTCAAACTTCAGAGAAAACGAACAAGTCCTAATTGAGCTACAGGAGCAGGGCTGATTTCAGGCTTTAGGGCAAACCTGAGTAGCAAAGACCAAAGAGTTCATTCTCCTCCAATTTCATGACATTTTTTCGAGATCTTGTAGAATTGTAAAGTTGTACACTAGCATTCTGAGACCTATTACACTATTTTTTAAAGAGAAGAAAAATACTTTTGATAAATTTAATAATAATAATTATTATTATTATATAGCAATATAAATTTAATTTAATGATAATAGGAGTTCAAATCAGGATATACTTAGGGTTTGAGACCAAGAAATAACTCAAAATAACCTCTTCCTTACCTTGGTTCAATAATCTAAAATGAGGGAGAGATTGAGGAGGATGTTGCCTATAGAATTAGAGTAGGATGGGCAAAATGGATAGGTGCATCTGGAGTGTTATGTAATAGGTGAAAACCACTTTGGCTAGAGAGAATGCTTCATAAAATGATTGTAAATGCTACAATGCTGTATGGAGTAGAATGTTGGGCAGGATTCATATAGTCAACCCCATATAATTGGGACAAGGCTTAGATGATGATGAAAAATATTTCCATTACCTAGAGGCGTGACACAGTTCAGAATGCAAGAGGCGTAAGCCTCCTTAAGAGGAGGAGAAAGAAGGAGGAGGACGGGATCTCATCTTGTTTTCTTGTTTCATTTTTATGAAAAATATCTTGTATTAAGAAGAATGGAGATGCATAACACTAGCTGAAAGGGGAGTCCTGTTGAGTTTGGTATTAAGAAGAATGCCTGTTATTATAGATTTCTTATTGGTATTTTATATATTTATTCCTTGATTTGTAATACCTTTGGTATCTACCACTAGATTGATAGTTGTGATACTTTTGCTTTTAAACAGGGGATGTGAATCCACAACCATGTTGGGTTATTATGCTTGAGGTACATACTCTATCTTGAGCTATTTCAAATCTATGGTATGGTCTTTATTCTTGGTGTTAACCTGTCTACCTGTTTAAGGACAAACTATATTTCAATTTGCCATTAGTTAATCTAGAAATTTAAATTTCTGAAATTGCTTAATGGAGTATGGTCGCTGCTCCTCACTTAGTCCTTCATTCTATGTTGCTTTGTGAAATATGGAGCATCTTTTTTTTAAAGGTTTGAAGTGGAGAATCTGTTTCCCAATAAAGTACATGAAATTGTAATATAGGTGCATGCAACTGGATTGGGTCTTCAACAGCCTTTTTTGGTTAATGCTTATAATATGGCCTTACTGAAATTTTAGCTTAAAATAAATTGAAAACTCCAATTTGCAATATTTGGTTAGATCTGTTGAATGGATTTGAAATTTGATTGGCCAAATTTAAAAAAATTTTCTAACCCAAAGGCCTTAGCTATGCCCTCATCTCTTGTCAATATGTTGCCATTCCATTCCAATTTCAGCATTGAGTTTTTCCTCTTTCTCCCAATTGCTAACATATGAAAAAAACTGGTAATACCATCCCCATCCCTTAGCCATTGACATCTAAGTAACCTCCTCTTTTCTTAAAATGGCTTCTAGATCCCTTTTCAACCCCCATCTCTCTTTCCTATCTTCCGAATTCAAACTTCTCTCAACTTCCATACCATTCATCTCCTCTATTCTACCGAGGATTTCCTGTTTTCTTTCTTCGATCCTTCCAAAAATCTCTTTATTCCAAACCTTAATTCTTGCTTTCAACATCTGTAGTTTCTTATAGAATCTATAACCCTTCCACCTGAACTCCACTTGATCCTCCTCCCACCACTCCCTTCACCTTTAGTAAGAAATCAGGGTGCAATAGCCACATATTCTCAAATTTGAAAAGGCAAGGGCCACCTCTCCCCCCCACCCCCACCCTCTCTTAGGATAGACTTATTAGGCAATGGCCTGAAATTGGTCTAGTAGAAATATGCTGAATTCAAAAATATGAACATAAAAAGTAGTTTCTTGAAGAGAGAAGGAAGAGAGAAGGAGAAGAAGAGATCTTGAAAAGAAAAGAGAGCAATAATCTGGCCGCCCCCTTCACTTATTATTTATACTAAAAATATAAGAGCAGTACAAAGATAACTATGCCCTTTTAGGGTGGCATTACATAAAACAGCATATATAAGACTCAAAAACATAATAAAATTTGGACTCACATAACTACTGTGGTCCCCACCTCCTATCTACCAACTAACATAAAACATCTACTCATAAAACAACACAAAACTGATTAATCTTCAACACTCCCCCTCAAGTTGGGAGTAAATGTCACACATTCCCAACTTGCGTAGATCATGTTCAAACTTGTTCTTTGCCACCCCTTTAGTGAGAATATCAACCAACTGCAACTTTGAAGAGATATAAGGCAAGCAGACTTCTCCGGCTGTTACCCTTTCTCTTATGAACTATCTATCAACTTCAATGCATTTTGTCCTATCATGCTGAATTGGATTGTGGGCAATATTGATTGTAGCCTGATTGTCACAGTACAACATCATAGGTTCCTCTGCTTTCACCCCAATCTCACTAAAAAGAGATCTAACCCAAAGAAGTTCTGAGACACCATGAGCCATGGATCTATACTCAGCCTCTATACTTGACCTTGCCACAACCGTTTGCTTCTTACTCTTCCATGAGATCAAGTTTCCACTTAGAAAGGTACACACTCCTGATGTAGGCCTCCTGTCATCTAAGCACCCTGCCCAGTCTGCATTTGTATAGGATTCTAGCTTCAGATTCTCATGATTTGAGAAAAGAATGCCTCTGCTAGGTTGCTTTTTCAGATATGTAAGTATTCTCTCAATAGCTTCCCAGTGCTGAACCCGAGGTGCATGCATGTAGTGCCTCACAACACTGGCAGCATGGGAAACATTTGGTCGTGTCATACACAAATATAGCAGTCGGCCCACCATTCTTTGATATCTCCCCACATCTTTTACCAGCTCACCATCCACAACATTAATTCTATGATTTGGATCAATAGGAGTGTTTGCTGGTTTGGTCCCTAGCTTCTCAGTCTCCAACAGTATGTCAAGTATAAACTTTCTCTGAGAGATTAAGGTCCCATGCTTGGATCTTGCAACTTCAATCCCCAGGAAGTATTTGAGTTCACTAAGATCTTTGATCTCAAATTCTTGCTGCAATGATTTTTTGAGATCATCGATCTCCTCTAGATCATTTCTTGTAACCACTATATCATCCACATACACAATCAGAATTGTCACCATAGCATCTCTCCTCTTTACAAAGAGGGTGTGATCAGACTGGGTTTGAATGTACCCAAAACGGATAAGTTCCCCTCTGAACCTATCAAACCAAGCCATAGGTGACTATTTTAGGCCATACAATGATTTTCTGAGTTTGCACACCTTTCTTTTACCAACATTTTCATAAAAACTTGTTGGAATGTCCATGTATGCCTCCTCCTGTAAATCACCACTGAGGAAAACATTTTTAACATCAAGTTGAAACAAGGGCCATGAATAGGTGGCTGCCAGAGATAAAAGAATATGAACTGAACTCATCTTATCTACAAGTGCAAAGGTTTCCAGATAATCAACACCATAGGTCTGAATATACCCTTTTGCTACCAACGTTGCCTTATACCTCTCTATCTTGCCATTGAACCTGTACTTTATAGTGAATACCCATCTACATCCAACTGTCTTCTTGTCTAGAGGGAGATCAACTATTTCCCAAGTTTGATTTTTAACCAAGGTCTCTATCTCTTCTTGCATGGTTGTTTTCCACTCAGGTTTGGAAAGAGTCTTAGTGACATTTCTAGGTATAGACACAAAACCCAGGGAAGAAAGGAAAGCTCGGTAGGAGGGTGATAAGGCACTATAGGAAAGATGGTGTGGTTGGCTCCTACACTTTGTTGTCCATTTGGAAGGCTAGAGCTAGTTGTATCTTTCTTACTCATAAGCTGTCTAAACATCTCCAATTTTGTTCTCATTGCTGCTACTGCAATGGATTCCCAATCAGTTTGGGAAAGAAGGGCCGAAGAGTCTCCTGTAGTTGCCACATTTGCATTTCCCTTCTTATTCCTTATCCGGGCAGGCATAAGATTTGGATGAAGCTTCCAACAAATATCCCTATTTTGCTTAGGCTTCTTACAATAATCACACACCAAGTCCTTCTTATCTTCCCTTCTAGTCTCACTACTCCCCCTATCTCCATTTGGCTTAGGTTTGGTTGTACTAACCATAGCCGACTAGTCAATCCCAAGCTGTCTCAGCATGACATTCCTACTGCTCTCCTCTCTAGAAACAAAGGCATAGTTTTGAGAGGGTGTCACACTCTCCCTAGAAAGAATATGCTGCCTAGCAATGCCAAATTCAGGGTTCAGCCCTGCCAAGAACTCAAAAACCCTATTTTTCTCTACCAGTTTTTGATAGGTTGCTACATCATTTACACTTTCCCATACCACAATTTTTAAGTGATCTATTTCCTGTCAAAGGGTTTTTAGCATGGAGAAATACAAGGTAAGGGGTTTTTCTCCCTGTTTTATGCTTATCACCTGATTCCTTAACTAACAAGCTCTGACTACCTTGTGCTTCTAAGAGTAGGTTTCAGTAACTCCATCCCAAATCTCCTTAACAGTATTAGCCATAGGAAATTTTTTCCAATATGAGATAACATAGAATTACACAGCCAGGACATTACCATGTAATTCTCCTGCACCCATCGGGAAGAATCTGTATCAGGTTTCTTCTCCTCCCTAGTGATGTATCCTAATTTTCCATGGGCACCAATAGCCATCTTGGCTGATTGTGTCCACTCTAAATAATTTTCACCATCAAGTTTTACTGTAGTAATGATTCCAAACCCAAAAATATCACTACTACCTCCAACACCCAGTCCCATGGTACCAGTGGATTTTACCTCAGTACTCCAACTCTCCATCTTATTTCAAATAGTTCAACAGTAAGAAAAAAGTAGATTAGAGATCTTCCAAAAGCAATTCAATATCACACACACAGAAATCAACCCTTCTAGAAGAAGAAAACCCTATTTGGAGAGAAATCGCTCTCCTCCCCACGCCTCCCAACAGAGGGAAGAGTGATTCGATCACTCTAGGAAGCTCAGAAAATTCCAGAAACTTAATCACCATCTTCAGAATAACAAAAGAAAACTAACAATACCTGGGCTCCCAAGATCAGATAAAAAACAAAGAGTCCGACTTTTTTGGGACTCTTCCCTCTACTCCAGTTCTTCCTGATTTTGATGCCAAACAGTAGATCACCTTCCTGATGACTAGATCCCACCAAAAAATCCAAGAACCAAGCAATCTATAGCAAATCGATCAGCCCTTTGTTACTTCATGCAATCGGCCGATCTAGGGCTGCATGAGAATGCTTCAAGAACCCTAGCCGAGGCTCTGAACCAAGTAGAAATATGCTGAATTCAAAAATATGAACAGAAAAAGTAGTTTCTTGAAGATAGAAGGAAGAGAGAAGGAGAAGAAGAGAAGAAGAGATCTTGAAAAGAAAAGAGAGCAATAATCTGGCCGCCCCCTTCACTTATTATTTATACTAAAAATATAAGAGCAGTACAAAGACAACTATGCCCTTATAGGGCGGCATAACATAAAACAGCATATATAAGACTCAAAAACATAATAAAATATGGACTCACATAACTATTGTGGTCCCCACCTCCTATCTAACAACTAACATAAAACATCTACTCATAAAACAACACAAAACTGATTAATCTTCAACAGTCTCGGTAGTCCTGTGACCACTAATCCTCACCATTCCATTTTCCAATCAGTTGTGAAAAGGAATCTGTCTAACTTGCAGCAAGTGGGGACTTCTTGAATATTTGACTAAGTAAAATTTTCCCTTTGAATAGGTAGGTCCTGCAACTCAAAGGTTTGTACAAAGAAGTTAAACTTCCTCATACTCAATGTAATCTGATGGTTTGGGTTGTTTGATTCACTTAAGAATCTTATGACATTAAAATCTCCCCCCAAACACCAAGGACCATCCCATAAACCTCTCACTGCTGCTAACTCCTCCCCAAGTCCCTCCCTTTCCTTATAAGAGGTGGGTCCATACACATTAGTTAAAACCCATTCCCAATCATCCACTCTCCTCTTTAGCTTTATGGACACTGAATACTTCCCAAATCCCAATTAACTCCTCAGTACACTCCAATTCTACATTTTTCCACAAAGTTATAATTCCCCTTGATGCTCCCCAAGATTGTGCGTATGTCCAACTTACATCTCTAGCTGACCATATACTTCTCACCCATTTCCTATCTAATTTGGACAGCTTAGATCCTTGAATAAACACAATGTCTGGTTTTTCTCTTCTCAACAGATCCCTAATCACTCCCCTCTTTCTTGAGCTTCCTAACCCTCTTACATTCCAGCTTATCAATTTCATGGACACCAAAAACAAATGCACCCTGAGTAGACAATTCCACTCACCATTTCTTCCTCTCCTTTCTTCCAACTCTCCCTTTATCATAATCCACCTCACTTAACTTTTTCTTTCTCTGTTTTTTTACTCCATCACCTCTAATGTCTAAACCTAGACTCCTCTAGTTCAGGTCATCCTGTGCCAATAGATTTTTTTCTCACTAGCATATAATCTCTTTAAGGTTACATTAGTTTTCCTCCATGAAAGGTTTAAAATGTTGGTGTTAGTGGAAATATTGGTCATCCAAATATAGGAAACATGTTGGAAATGTCAGAAATATTGTAAAAATTATAGACATGGTGGAAACATTGTAAAATATGCAAAAATATAGAATGATATTTTATAAAATGATAAAAGAAACATAAACAAACCTTTTTAAATTGTTCTTCTTCCAAATCATTAAACAAAGCTAAGAAACTAAGGTTATAAACAAAAGTTGTCCTGTGAACCTTAAGATTCAAAGCTTCATGATAGAATGAGTTAAAGAAAAATTTGAACTATGTAAATGGTTGTAATAGATCAATTAAATAATCTATTACACAAACAAAAAATATTATTTTACTTTGTGTTTCATGTTTGAAATGAATATTAAGCTAGCTCAAAGTGGTAATCATGTAAGTTAAGCAGGAAATAATATTGTTACTCTGCATATTTACAATATTGTCACCAACTTATGTTATAATACTGTCTCTTGTACTCCACAGTGTTGGTAGTGTTCACTGGGAAATATGTTGATTCCAGTAAAATTTCATGTCACTATCCATGGAAGTGGAGATGTGAATATGTCATTGAAGCCATCTCTTGTACTCCACATAGTGCTGGTAGTGTTCATTGCGGAATGTGTCAATTCCGGTAAAATTTTGTCTCGCTACCCATGGAAATGGAAATATGTTGTGGAAATATTAGGGAAATTAGGGACATTTTAAACCATGCCTTCTTGGTGAGGTACACTTGGAGTCGAGATGGTGATTAAACGATTTCTTGTTATAGTACCAAAAACTGGTACGGTGGAATGAAATTTGCCTTTGCTAGGAATCCTTGTATTTCAACAAACATCTCCTACATGTTTCTGAACATATATTAGGTATATTTTGTTTTTCATGCAAACACAAATAACCTACTTACCTTTGCATTTACAGGTGCTTGATAATCTTCCACATGATCTTATCTATTCCAAAAATCAAGTTTCTCCCTGGACAGAAGTCTGGCTTGAAAAGAGACATGATAGGTATGCAATGCATAATTATATTTTGACACCTTGCATATTTGTATTTTTCAGTCATTAACAGATCAGTACCATTTTATTTATTTGTGAAAATGAATCATATATTACAAGAGTACAGTACACTTCCTCGTATAAGCAACTTCTTTTTTTGATAAAAATTGACAGAATTTGTGTTGAAAATCACAACAGAGACCTGGCTTGCCCAAAAAAGCAACTAGTGCAATACAAAGAAGCAACATAGAAGTGGCCATACATAACCATGACAACAATAAATACCTAGTTACAATAGGGCCCGTGGACCTGGCATCCTGCAATCACACCCTTGTCTAGTTACTCCTGCCCTGGCTAAACTATCACTAGGGAATTGACTGACCTGGGAATCCACCTGAACAGCAGTTTAGGCTTCTACCCAACAAAGAGGCTTCCCAGACCAAAACCTCATAAAAGCAACTTTACTGAGCCTCTTGGTTCATACATCCTTTATCTCACTTTCTAAACACATCCCCTTGCTACTTTGGTAGGATAGGGCCCTGGTACATGTTAGTGCAAATGTTCAATATTCTGTTTGGTTATGACACCATATTGCATCGCATTATTCTAATCAAGAATCTTTAAATGTCATTTGTTTGATAGGGGTGAGACTTACCTCATCCAATCAGAAACAGGAAAAGAATTATAAGTGAGCTCAATATAACTGATCCCTATAGACCCCTTGCTTAGCTAGATACTTAGCTATTCAATTAGCCGATCTCTTCTCCCATTGTACACTCACTATCATATTTCTGGTTAACCATTTAACCTTCTTGATTTCATCCCTATAACCCCAAATAACAGTCCCCAGCTTCTGTAGTAGTGTAGCCATCCCACTGTTAGACAGTTTTGTATGCCCTTAGCTCCAATCAGTTTGATGTACTTATGACATTTATTGTAAATGAATAAAGTGCATATTTGATTCATATTCCTGTGGTGTGTTTCTGTGTAGTACCCTTAAACCGGACACTTATGAGACTCGTGTTAGTTTAGAACGTTCACAGCCAGTGGGTTGGTCTGGGGAGACCTATCTTGACAAGGCTGACACTGATGTGCCGCCAAGTCGGTTGGGGTGGCCTGTCTCTACCACCAGGGTGAGACCCGAGGTACATTCAATGTAGGATTAATTGAATCTTTGAACCGGACCAGATTTTCAGTATTGCCCTAGACCTTAGAGATTGATGGGCAAAATAGGAAAGTTACACCTGACCCCTAGACTCGAATATGATACTGCACTAGGTGTCGGATTGGGCTGTCTTTGATATGCCAATCAGTGAGATCCTTAGCAGGGGTAAAAAACTAGATATGTTGGGACAGTTTGAGAATTCATCTGAGTGGGTGATCATAATGACAGGATCAGCCCCTTTGTCAAACAAAGGTAATGATTAGGGATGCACTCTCTCTGATGGAAACCAAGACTGCCGGTAGCCGATTTCAATCGTTGAGATTTGTTTTGCAAAATATATTTTATATGAGATTTAAAAGTATATATTATGGTTTCCAAACGTTTGCAAAATGTTTAAATTCTCGAGATCTATGTGAGTAGAGAGTGCAGCACTGTTCCTTGCAGCCGAGGGAGAGGTCATCTCTTGTCGGACAGTGTTTGATCATTATGGGCTGAGAGGTTAAGTGTAAGACCATTTAGGGTAATACCTGATGGGCTAATCTTGCATTTGCCCATAGTCCCTGGGTGTTACAAGGTGGGTTGGCCCAGGGACCACTTAGGGTAAGTGTTGGGCCCATAGAGCCCATGTGATGGGTTTCGGGGGGTGCACTGTCCATAACAGTGTATTTGGCTAGGCCTTGTAACAAAGGCTGGGCTGAACCCATGTAGCTGATGGGTAGATCAATGTTTGGGTCTCACGCCATACAAGGAAGCCCAACAGGGTAGTAATTTGAAAGGCTAAGTGAGCACATAACCTTATTGGGCCTGAAGCCCATTTCGAACTGGGCTCATTTGATCAGTTAAATAAGGGGCGAATTTTGAGATTGGATTAGCAGATAGGATTGGGCCTTAACCCTATCCACTCAGAGAGTCCAGATCTAAATGTGATTCAAATCTGGAAACCTCCTAATGAGATTAGGAGAAGGCTAATCTAATCTGCAAATAAGATAAGGGTTTACCCTTATCACTTAAAGGGAATTCTGATCCAAATATGATTTGGATCAGCAACTCCTAATGGGATTAGGAGCTGATCCTTTTAAGGTTATAAAAAGAGGAGCGGGTGACAGCCTTTAGACACAACAAGATCACCATCTGTGTTCAGAGCTGAAATCACAAAAAAGAGAGAATTCAGCACATCTACGAAAATTCTCTCTTGCCGCCTCCTTCCTGTCGTCGACACACCTACCAGTTCGATCTCCAGATCAGTGGGAGAAATCAAGATTGGATCTTGATATCAGTTCCTTGTGAAGGGATTGATAGGAAGCTATGCTCACGTGCCGTCCTGCTAATTCTTGCGAAGGATTAGGTTCTTGGGAAGAACACTGCTGATTCTGCTCCATCCTGCACTGTACCACCTTCAGTGGAACCAGTCTTTGAATCCTTCCTTGGGCGTGAACACCTTCGTTGGGAGATATTGTTTCTCCGTATCAGGTAATATCTCTCTCCTATTGGTTTTTGTTCAGATCTGGTTCGGTTCTTGGTTCAAGATTGTTCTTTGAAATATATGATTTTTCTAAAATAGGGAATACGATTCCCAGTAGGATGGAGAGAAATTTTTGAAATTCGCCCATTCTATTCCGCAAGATTCGGGCGTCCATACGATGGATATCTCATCCCTTCAGTGGTATCAGAGTCATGTTCAAATCTTGAACCGAATTGGATCAAATCTGAACCTGCGCAAATG